TAAATATAATTTAATTTGCATTGTGAGTTGGCACTAATCTGTAACTATACTAAAAATAAAAAGCTTATTAATGACGAGGTATATTTATTGATGCCGTCATCCATAATTTGTTCAAACTAAAAATCTTTGCGTCTGGTGCTGTTTGACAAGCATGCCATTAAAAAGCGATTAATCAAAATAATTACAAGGCCTGTAATTAACTCGATTAATTTATTTTATTCTTTTCCAGCCATACCTTTTTTAAAGCATTTTACCAAATATCGTAACTCTGACTATTGTAAATTCAGCTTGTACTTCTAATTTATGATGAGTGCACCCCATTTACAAAATTAGATGCTGAAGATTTGTTTGCACAGACTATGGCGGCATTAACTAACAGTGAGTTTTTATAAGAAAAACTACATTAAATAACAGACTGTCTGGTGTCAGAGCTGTAACATTAACAACGTTCTTGCTAAACTTGTAACTTGCCTTTAAAGTTGCTTGTTTCAAATTATGAATAAATGTTTCTTTTTTTTGCTGTTTTCTAACTGCCATTTCTAAGTTTATCAAATCTGCTAAGAATTAAACTGCCTAATTAGTGTTGTAATGTAAATCTGGTTGTTTTGGATGAAGTTGCAGTTGTTGTATTAGAATAAATTGGACTGCACTCAACTAGATGTTTGCTTTCATGTGAAGATGACATTGTTAACTGGCACTGAATAAAAATCGGAAAAGTTTTCTGGTTTGTTTTTTACTTACGACTGCCTGCCAACTTTATCTGTTATGATCCATATTAAGGCCTTGTCTACAACACTTGTTTTATGTATTTACTTTTTGATTGGTTTGTGGTTTATCTCCWGTCTTTGCACCTCTTGTCCACATAGAAATAGCATTTTTGGTAGAAGAAAAGTGTAGATTTTTAAAACCCCATTTCAGCATGCCTGTTGCCATCAAAATAGGAAAGTCTGAGAAACAATTATCTAGCTGCCTGTTTAACACAGAAAACAAAACAAGAGAGACATTTCTACAAACTTTTCTACATGAAACTTTTTCCCACCTACTGGTTTGGCATAGGTATTTAATCCTTTGTGTTGAACCTCCAGCCTGTCATATGGATTTTGTTTTTTTCTATAACTGTAAAAACAATATCCATTTGGAATAATATTTAGTGTAGTGTAGATGAAGGTTATTTCTAAGGCTCTGCTGCATCCAAAACCTAAATTTGGCAAAACCAATGTCTGTCTTCTTCTGTTTTTTTTTTTTTTTTTGCCTCATTGTGGCCTGATCTACTAAAGGTTTGTAAGTATAAAAACATAAGCAAACATGATAGCACTCACGATGCTGATCAGCTGTGTACACAGAGGATTGCATGTGCTATTTTGCTCATTGGATACAAATCTGGGTTGTGTGTTCATCATCCACCAAAACCCTAATGCACACCATCCATATGTTCACACTGCAGGCAAAAGCTACCAAAATTAGACGTTTTTGTCCCCATGTTGACCCCAATGAATTTTCTCATGACAGTCTGTGTTTTTTCCCTTCCCCATTTCCCACTGTACTCCACCACCCTGCCTGCTTTCTGTGAAAAAGCGAAGGAGGAACAATTGTGTCTGTGGTTAAGGAGGAAAAAATAAACATATTACGAGGAGCTCCTTACTGTCTGCCACTCGGTTCTTATATTTCATTGTAAAGAGTTGTTTAAAAGAGTTTGTGAGCGGCACATCTCTAATAAAAACCATGACATATCTCCTAGGGAAAAACTCCTTGCAACACTACTTTTTTTGCATCTAGATCCTACAAAGACCGCCAACTATATAAGTTTGAACTACATTTTTCTTTTACGTCCACTGTGCTCTCCCAAACTTTCCATGGTGACAAGCAGTAGCACATGCAAAATCCTCATTTCAATAAAGCAGTTCACCTTTTCACCTGTTATTAATTGCGAACACAATTTTAGTATAGGTCACCTGCAACACCCCTATGAGCGTTAACAATTTTTAAGTTTGCACATACAATTACGTGCTCATTGTTTGGGATCTTAGTAGATCTGGCTTTTAGTGTATATAGTCTTCAAACAGGCTCTATCACACATAAATATAATTGTGATGTGTTTGCTGGGAGAAACAAGTTGCTCTAAAAGAATGTCCATTTTGGTTAAATGTAACTTATATCCTGATTTAAAGACTACACTTTTATTAAAACAAAAACTGATTGTTTTTACATTGGTTGCAAGCAGATAGGATCTAACACTGAGTTTTTGTTTTAATTCTTCTCCCAGCAGGCAGAGCTAATCCTCAGGAGAACATCTGCTGTGGCAGAGAAGAGTTTTTGGGCAGCTGTTGATAAACCGTGATCTGTCAGTCATTCTTAAATGCCCCCACTTTTTTATTTACCGCAGGGAGTGAGAAAGAGCGCGAGAGAGAGAGTTAATCAAAGGAGTAGTTTTGCAATTAAGCGAAAGTGAAAGTTACAGGATTGCATCTTGAATCCATTTGGCTTACTTCATGGCTGAGATGAAGGCTCCAAATAGACTCTGTAGTTTCTCAGGTTCAGTGATTAAGCTGGTCATGGCTTATAATAGTACAATACAGCAGTGTTTTTACACTGCATTTTCTTGTTCACATGCATTTTTATTTTATCCAGGGAAAAGACTTTGAGCAGCACAATTACTGATTTTTTTCCCTCTAAATCAAACTCTGTAATGCATTTTAAGATTAAACTCAAATACTTTGTGATGTTTATCAGCTTTCCTTATGAATAATTCCACGAGGCTTCTTTACGGTTAAAGCTGTGTGTTGTGAAGGATATYCACATGAATTCAGAGTGTGGCCTCACTGCGTGATTACATGTTTAACTCCAATATTGATGTAATCCGCAAAAAGAGTATTACCTTGCAGCAGTCTACCTGTGGATATGCATTTTAGAGCTTTAGCTCTGCACCCAGTCTCCTCCTATCTGCCCCCTGCAGCTTTTTCCATCACACAGAAGCAATTTGGCGCATTTCTCCTGATGGGGGGCTCGTCTTCTCTCCTGCTGCAATCGGACAGTTGACCCCCTAGCAAAGGTGCCTCTTTTGGTGGGCCTGGATCTTTGGATCTTTTATTCATACATGTGGAGCTCAAAAATCTGCTGGGCCGCTACAAAAACGATTCAGTCACCTAAAGAGAACTACTTTCCCTGTTAAAACAAGACATCTCTCATCTCTGTTGCAGCGGTTCTGTGATCCCTACTCTTTCAACAACCAAGCTGTGTGACTTCATTTCACTTACTGTAAATCAGATATTCTCATACCTGTTAAAATATTCCTTTTGGATCTTTTCAGCATTTGATTATTTTACTGCACAAACATCCAGCTTTTCTGTTTGTGTTTAAGTTTTTCATTCTTGTATTAAGAAGGATTTCAAGGACTACTGTATATTTATTAAAGGTTCTGCCACAGAATTAGACAGAAAATAGTAAAAGGACACTCATTTATCAGTTACTATTTGTAATGCTGTACTGAGGCAGTTATACTGTATATTTTCAAACACTAATAAGAGCCCAAGTAGTGAGCGTTAAGTTGCGCGTGCAAACTAAAAGACTGCATTTTCTTTTAGTTGGGCATGTTGCAGACGATTAAGATTGAATGCACAAATGATAACTTGTAGAAAAGTAGTGAGGACCACCCAGTTGAAGTAAGGATTTGGGCTGTCTTCATAGAGAGTTTGAGAGAGCTCAGTGGCCATAAAAGAAAAAGGAAGTTTGAAGCCATGAAGTTGAAGGTCTTGCTGGAGGAAGCAAATGATGCAGAGGCAAGTAAATGCAGTGGTAAAAGGAGATTTTTTTTTCCTCCTAACTCTGCACTGGAATGGAATGGCTTCTATTTGTGACTGACTCCAAACCAGCACTAAGGTTCTCCAGCAGCTCAAAAATGACATTGCTAGAAATACGATGTGTCTATTTTTATTTCTGACTGTCCAAATATGTTGACATACTCTCTGTGTGGTTTGTCATTTATAGTATGCCTCCTTCTCACCACAATGACTGCAGCCAATTTGCCTTTTAAACGTGGTCAATATAAAAACAAAAACAGTAACYGCAATTAGTTTCAGGTTTGATAAATCACATTGCGGGATCTAAATTATTACCTTTGCATACCTTCCTCCCAGTATTTAGAACTTTCTGACAATCATCATCCATTCCGCATATTCATGACGGCAAACACACTACAAGGATTGCRTCTGCTATTTATCTCCAGTCCTCAGCGCGTACGGTTAGTAGAGCACATCCAGTACATGCCAAATTGTACGGATTGTCCATGGTTTATGGAGCTATTTGGGTCTCGATATACTCACACATGGTTGGGCGGTATTGCTCATACCGTGGTATGACCTTCAGAAAATACCGGGGTATACGGTACCAGCGGCGCAGGTGTGTGTGTGTCTGTGGCATGTTTAGTAATTAATGTTCAATAGAGCAACAAATGCACGTAAGCATTTACATGCATTTACATACATACATACATACATACATACATTCATACAAAAAGCCACAGATAGACGTTAAAAAAAACCAGCTGCTCTGACGTTGCTGTCACTCAGCAGTGCTGCAGGAGTCGCAGAATGAGTTTACCTCCTTTCATGTCAAACAGATCAAACACAAGTCAAACTACGTCTTTTTTTGAGTTTTAAGTTTCAAAATAAACTCGTACAGTGGTCATTTCAAAGCCGATGCATGCTACTTTTATTTTTTAACTCTAGAGGCAGGACAGATGGGTGTGTCTCTGCTCCCTCCACTCCACTTCTGTTTGTTTTCTGAATGAGCTGAGGTGATCAGGACATGTGTCAATAAAAATATGGGGTGTCTTCTGAAAAGTTTATCCCAGCTTCATATCACCTCACGTGACTCATGCCATCATCATCTTTTTATACCATGATCAAGGTAACAAAAATACCTTCATACCACCCAAGCCTAGAGACAGCCACTCTAAGAATTACTTTTGTCATTTCTAACCTTGATTTTTCCTGTGTTTCAAGGATCCTCTTGGAGCACCTAATGGTGCCTCCAGAGCCTCACCTTGGATTCACCTGAGGCTGCCTGTGTTGGATCTCAAACCAGCCTTTTGACCTCCATCATGCCACACTCACCTTCCTGTAAACCTTAACCCTCCTCCCTGAGCCAGCCTCCTCATCAATCTCTAGAAGACAAAGACACATTCTCAAGTTATTCATTCCTTAATTCCCTTTCTGGTGATATCTTTCATCTTCCCACAGATTCCTCCCAAACTAAACGCCTTCAATGTAAATAAAGATGCTTACTACTTGTCTTGAGTGAAGTCTCATTGTCATTCTAGCCACTTTTGATAATCTTGATAGTTGGTTTCTATCCAAGGCAAACACAACTTAGCAATGGGTACATAAGTGCAATAAAGTCACAAAATACTCGCCATCCTCTGCCATGGTTTTCAAAAATGTCAAGGCCATCTTACCACCCCCAGTTTTTCCCAGCTGGAAAATCGAGTCCATTTGGTCTAGCGCCGTTTGAAATCTGTTGTCAGACAACAAGCCTAGAAACAGCTACACCTCCTAAAAATAACACGGTGTGGGCTTACATGTTGTCGTTTGCAAGGCTTCAAAAATGGTGTTTCTAAGTCTGAAGGAGACACTCTTATGGCTGATGTCACTTTCTGACCAATCATTGGCCTACAGTCTGAGGACATCAAATTTACAGCTTAACTCGTTCGCTTGGGATCTCAACTGAGTAGGTCCTAAAAAACCGAGCTGGACGTGGGTGAAATCACCTAATGGAAAGACCCTGAAGCTGCACTGAGTCGACTTGAGTAGGGTGAGTTGAGCCCATGAAAAACTGCCAGAAGTCAATAGGGTTAATGGTGCGTTCACACCAAACGCGATTTCAGCGTCAGGAGCAGCAGGTTTACATACAAAGTCTATGGTGGACGCGCTTCAAGCAACGTCGGGAAGTGCTGCGGCGCCTCAAGCGCGATTAGAGCAGCGCGATTTGGACGATTTGAACGATCTGAGCGTCGTCCAAATCGCTGAAGTTGGGAAATCTGAAATTTTGCAGCTCGACGCGCAGCGTCAACCAATCAGAGAGACTCCACTGTGTGACGTAGCGACATATTTCCCGACGGGACAGTTTACTGAATGAGGTCCACTAACCTGAAACAGACGGAGCTCCTGCTCTTTAGCTAAAATGAGTGCTGCAGTCGTGTCCTGATCCGCAGCAATGCGTGGCAGCGACTCATCAGACTGGAAAAATAGTCCTGAAAGCAGCTGTGAGCCTCTTCTCTGAATTATCTGGTGAATTAATTATGAATTAATTATCTGATGAACGTGACACGTTCTGGCTGTCTGTAAATAAAGCAAAGCCACTTCCTCGTCCGACATTAAACAGAGCCCGACAGAGGACAGAGGAGGGAGGGGCGGGGCGGCTGTCGCCGTGCAGCGCAGATGTCCTGCGTCTGACCTCAAAGTGCACAAGCTTCAAACTTCAGCGTTGGCTGCGATTTTGACGCTGAAATCGCRTTCGGTGTGAACGCACCATAAGGCCAGTTAAGATGGTAAGGTTATCTGTGAGAGCAAATAGCAGCAGCAGCAGTTTCATGTAGCATAACTTGTGCAGCCTGAGGCACTTTCAGCAGGAATAACCTGAATGTAGTGTCACTTGTTAAACCAAGCATACATTTTATTTATTTTTGTTTTTTACAGTATTTCTTTTCAAGTACTACTGTGGTTTTTCTTGCTTTATTTTGTCCATTTTGTAACTTTAACCTGATTTGATGGTGGTGGTGTTCCCATCACATTGTTGGTTATAGTTAGTAAACCTAATTCAGTGTGAATGACACATTTTATATCAATGCCCAAATAAATATAATATTTAAAAGCCCAAATGTGTTTTAGAGCCCTTGAATATCCAAATGTGTATTTAAAAGAAAATCCAGAAATTTGTGTCTCTTTCAATTTCATTCTTGTTGAAATACAACTTTTATTATTGTGATAGCAGCGTTTAAGACTTGAATGTTTTAAAATGACAGGAAAATATTTCTAAGTTTGACCTACTAACATTTAAGTTTGAAACAAAGTCACCAGGGAACCTATTCAAACATGTCGACAAGTAGTTCAGTTTCTCTCAAATGAATGCAAAGTTTTGCAGATCTGGGAGCAGCTTATGCGGAGGGGGGAAAAAAAGCCCCACGGTCTTATATGATAATCAAAACTGTATGTGCCTCTGGTCAGTGCCTCGYAGCACAGAATCCAAAGCACACCCAATGGGGATCTCAGAAACACCCTGAGAATGAAAATGGATGAAAATAGAAGTTTTGCCTGAACTTTTAGAAGAATTTCTTGTGTAGTTTGTGTTTTTTCACCACATACCAGTTTTATTAGCCTTGCTGCCTTTTCTTAGTTTTTGTTCTGCCAGTCACCATCTGTTGTCATTTCATCATCCTTTACCTCTGAATGTATCCTCTCCTGTGTTCGCCTTTTATTTATTTGCTTTGCTACACTGTTTTTAGTTCCTCCGCTGTTTTGTCCTCAGCTCTTTTTAAAACCTCTGTCTGCCAGCCTGATATCTCTTAACTCTGCTCTGCTAAATGTCTATCCATGTTTGACCTTTTATTCTTTCATTAAATTAGGCATTTTTACATTTCTACCATCCCCTACATTTTAGCTGAACTGTTCAAGAAAGCTCACATCCAGTTATTACATCTTTATCCATTGACCACTTAGCTTAATGTGCAATAATGGCGAGAGCTGTGGTGTGGGATAATAACACACATAGGCACTGTTGTGCACAAGTATTTTTCAAATAAGCATGTAGTCCACGGCTGGCACTGATATTTTCTTTGAACTTACTAAGGCTGGCTTTATCTGAGGGACTTGAACTGAATGTGGCTCAAAAAGGCAATAGTAAATATCTCAAATTACAGCAGATGATCACTCATTAAATGCTATTTTCCTTTGGACAAAACATAGCTACTTCATAAAAAATGCTGCATTTTCCCCAACAGGACCAGGTTGTTGTCTGTAATACAGTCAGGCTGTTACATACAGACATGTGAGGAAAAGTTATTGTGCAAATATATGTATTTTCCTCTCACTTCACACTTTACTACGAAAACTGAAGGCCTGTGAAGTGAGATGCTGAGGCTGCGGTCCTTTGGGATCAAGCTTCAGCTAGGGTTCAGCCAGATCCTGCATCTTTGCATTTAGTTAAAAAACATGTTTAACCACAAAGAGGATTGATAACTGAGTTCATTTGTCATGTGTTGAACATTTGAAAGAGACATCCATCATATGTTTAATGTGTAAAGCTTCACGTCAACGCAATTGAATTTCACTCAATGCCTCCTTTGGTTCTGCTAAGGTTGTCTTATTTCTGAAAACTCATGTCTACGTAGGACATGGCCGGCTTGATTAATGGTTGGGAATGGGCAGAGGCAAACTAAAGTCAGACTGTCTTTGCAGCCATTTTACAGAAATGGGTTGTGAAAATGCCAAATGACAAGGAGGCTTGGGACAACTCTAGCACATGTAAAACGGAAACCAACTATATGACAAACCCACCTGCAGGTTTGATCACACTGTAGAGATGTGAAAYTAATAACAACTSAATAAATATGGTGCATTCCTTYATGAAATCGAAAATGTATGGGAAGCCATAAAATCAAGATATACTGGAGCCACTTTTAGAGGCATCAAGCTCGGTTTTGACTGGACTGATGAGCYAACAGTTTGAGGGTGAGAGCTGAACGCCAYTGTTTTCAAATAACTTCAGTCTTGAAAACATCATAGCTGTTCATGAGAACATATTTTATAAACCTTCACACTGTTGTCAGTTTTGCATCATMTGGTTATTCCAGGAGAAATATCCCAYATAGCAGATAGGTGTGGGCTGGATCTGGTGTCAAGCTACAAGTGGTTTGTCAACTGGATGTGGGCCAGKTCTGGCAATGATGATACGGTTTTTAAGCTGCCATGCTGCAACTGGCCCTGTTGGGGTTTGGTTCATGTGGTGCTGGACCATGCATGGACCACTTCTGGCAAAACACATGGGCCACCAAAGGACAGTCATTCTTTGTGGTGTCTGTATGGGCCGAGTGTTTAGTCCACCATGTGGGCCAGAAGTGCAAGCGAAATTTTGATAAATGGGATTTATGTTCCTACATCATCGTCAGTGAGGATGTGTTGGCTAACACAAGTCAACCTGTTTCCAATTTTAATCACTGCTTCTTTTCRTCACATTGCCTGGATCCATTTTACRTGTTATTCTGCATCTGTCAGCACACTCCTGTCATTTTCATTTTGCTGTGCTACTTAAATTGGTCCCTCTATCTGTTCATTTTTTTGAATTACTGTTTCAAGATCGTAGGGAGATGAGGTCTATCTCTAGCAGTGACTGAGCAAGGGCCGCCAGTCCATCACAGTGTCACATGGCGATGACCCATCCACACTCAAACCTTGTGGAAATTTACAAATTTAAACTATTGACGAATGCTAACTCTAAGCAGAGAGGTTCCCAGCTGGAAGTTGAACCTGCAACCTTTAACAGTGTCATAATTTTTGTATTCCATAGCTGTGCTCACTAGAAGCTTTTCTACCCATGGTTTCTGGTGGAGATAGTGTGAAAAGGGTAAACTGATATGACAAACGGAGCATGGTTTTGTCCACCATTCTCAAATATATTAGACAAATCATGAACAATTTCATTTTGTAAGGAGTTTCGAACATAAGTCAGTTCAGTTTGGCTTACAGTTCTTTTGAACACTGACTGCATATTAGTAGTAGTATTGTATTTGGTATTAGTAAAATGCTAATATTAAAATCCAACAGTAAAGCTATTCAGATCAAGGTGTTAATGTGGTTTTATCTCAATTTTGGCAAGTAAGTGAATAAACGTACCTCTCAGTTGGTAACTTCCCAGTGTAGCTGGTGCAAATAAGAGAACGTGTCTCTAAATTGTCAAACCCAGAACTTTCCTGGCAATCAGGTTCCTTTGAACTGGTGACACTTTTGATCACGAAATTTCTTCTCTCTCATGAAAAATGCACGAATATTCTTCATGATCARTAAAAGCTTGTATGACTGGATCCCAGGTGATCAGACAGAGTACATAATATACCTACTGTGTGACAGCTCGGTATTGTTGGATGAGTGAAACTGACGTCAACGTTCAGTAATCACAGAGCTCCCTGTCTTCTCTCCTTGATGATTCAGAGCGAATCAGACACAGTCTTTGATCAGTCTCTGGCGCCGTACCCAGGGACCGAGAAAAAGAGACTGGCAGTACAGAGGATAGGGTGGACC